GGTTTGCCCATCTATGGGTGAGCCAGGCTCAGCTGCGGCCACTCTGCTAGTCTTGGCTGGACCCACTTGTGCATCTGTGGGGTGGGGCATGGGCTGAGCCCACACAGGCAAGGCTAGGCTAGGGCCGTCGCTCCACGCTGCAGGTCTGGATCGGCACTGCTGTCTTTCCCCTTCCTTAGACCAGGGGGCTAGCCAGGATATGCTCTTCTCGTGGCAGTGCCAGAGCCCGAAAGTGAGTGGAAATGTGCAAGCAGCTCTTAGGAGCCTCCACTAGGAACTCATGCGTCGTCATGTACTTCCCTGGCCCTGCCGTGGGTCACAGCCAAGCAGCAGGGCACTAGTCCCCTCCCTTAGAGGGGCTGCCTCGTCTGGTGGGAAGGATGGGAACAGGGAAGGGGAGAACTGGGGCCAGTGATGCACACCGAGACTCGCTTCACTTCGAACTGAGCCCCAGCATGTGCCAGGCACTCCTCTGTGCCGGGATCTGTCAGCACACGAAACTGGCTTTCCCTGCGCCCCAGCCATCCAGGAGCTTAATTCTAGCGGGATATGGAAGGGATTTCACATTCAATGCTACCTCCTTCTTGTCTGTTTTGTGTTCTTTCACTAGGGATGAGCCCACTGGCACGTTTGCTCCCCGAGGCCAGGAATCATCTCTGCTTGGGCAGCTTTGTCCCCCAGCACCCAGGACTGGGATTGTGCATCTGTGGGGTTGGGCATGGGCTGAGCCCACACAGGCAAGGCTAGGCTAGGGCCGTCGCTCCACGCTGCAGGCCTGGATCGGCACTGCTCTTTCCCCTTCCTTAGACCAGGGGGCTAGCAGGATATGCTCTTCTCGTGGCAGTGCCAGAGCCCGAAAGTGAGTGGAAATGTGCAAGCAGCTCTTAGGAGCCTCCACTGGGAACTCACGCGTCGTCATGTACTTCCCTGGCCCTGCCGTGGGTCACAGCCAAGCAGCGGGGCGCTAGTCCCCTCCCTTAGAGGGGCTACCTCGTCTGGTGGGAAGGATGGGAACAGGGAAGGGGAGAACTGGGGCCAGTGATGCAAACCGAGACTCGCTTCACTTCGAACTGAGCCCCAGCATGTGCCAGGCACTCCTCTGTGCCGGGATCTGTCAGCACACGAGACTGGCTTTCCCTGCGCCCCAGCCATCCAGGAGCTTAATTCTAGCGGGATATGGAAGGGATTTCACATTCAACGCTACCTCCTTCTTGTCTGTTTTGTGTACTTTCACTAGGGATGAGCCCACTGGCACGTTTGCTCCCCGAGGCCAGGAATCATCTCTGCTTGGGCAGCTTTGTCCCCCAGCACCCAGGACTGGGCTTGAAGCGAGGCAAATGCTCACAAATAAATGAGGGAGGAAGGGAAGCATTTTCTCTCTCTCTGTTCTGGGAATCACTGAATCTCTGTCAGTTCATCCACGGATTGCAAGGACTGAAATGACAGAAATTCAGATCTCTAGATTAGCAGATGATGCAAAGCTGGGACGCAGAACAAATGACAAGTGACAGTGTAACTGGATTTAAGAGAATTTGAATCATCTGGGTGAGAGAGCCTGCAGATGGCAGATGCCTGCTCAGTGTAGAAAAATGGGTCATGCCTCCCAGACCAACCACCAGGCTGACTCGGAGTCCTGAGAGGAGCAGAGCCTTCGGGTCGTGGGCTGATCGTGGCAGAGCGGGGACTCCCCTGACACGTGGGGGCACGAGCTCGCAGCAGGATGACAAACCAAGCTCAAGAGGGGGTGCTGTGTTAGTGAGGCTCTGGACCTTGGCCTTCCCTCGGTAGACTGAGGGCGAGGCTGGGCAGAGGGCCAGTGCCGCTGCTCCCACCATGCCTGAAAGCAAGACCCAGCCCCTGGCGCCCCCGAAGGCTGGGGACAGGAAGCCAGAGGTCCTCATCTCAACCCAGTTCTGCTTTCTGAAAGAGGCTCCCTGACCTTGGTTCCTTTACCTGTGATGCAGGCATTAGGATACCCATCCTACTAAACGTCACAGGCTTTTAGTGAAATTGCAAGAGACAGCAAGTGTAAAAATTAACGCAACTCAGGGAAGACGGGTAGTATTTGGTCTTGAGCAAGGCAATGCTACTCCGTGATTGCGGAGGAGATGGAAGGCATGAACCATGCAAGAGATTATTTCCAAAATTCAAAGTAAGAGAAGATTCACTGAGGAAAAGAAACCTTGAGGAATGATTTTCCACATTTCGAGGTGTGAATGTTTCAGAGGCCCAACTCTTCTAGGAGGGTAGTAATTGTGGGAAGTAAATTACTGTTGCAATTAATTGAAGCAGAATGAGAATGAGCTCAAAACACACCTAAAAACGAAAGGAAATGGAGAGACTAAGAGAAAAGGTCAAGCCGGGTGGTGAGAAAGGAGGCCAAAGGTCAGTGTTGACAAGACAGATGTGTTCTTTTTCTTAAATGGCTGTGATCTCAGACGTGGGTTTGGCACAGGCAGGCAGGCCTCCCGCTCAACAGCTGCCTTCCTTCCTGTCCTTTCAGGGGCGGCTCCCTGGCAAGCGTCCCATGAGCTTCCTCTGATGGTGCTGGGGCTCTTCATGGAAGGTGGTCACTGTGATCTCAAGCCTGCCCCTTCCTCTCCTTGACCTGCAGGCGCTAAGAGGAGAAGCGATGGGGGTCCTAGCAACGTGGAAACGACTTTATACATCCATTGGCCTGAAGGCAATAGCAACAACAACAGAATTTATGTAATACATGACAGCACAGGATTGGGTAGTAAAACTGCATTAGCCATCCATCTCTCCTTGTAAAGAAAATTCTCACCAACTGCCACCCCCATAACAGAGCATCGCTCTTCACCTGGACACAACTGACCCCCTAAAAAAAGGAAGTGCCTGGATACCTCTGAGAATTATGCAAATGCAGGCAGCATTCACAATCAGGGTGATGCATCAAAGACCCAAAGATGTTTCCAGGCATGAGTTACAAGGCCTCTAAAGACAATGGCTCTTTTATAGGGTTTTAGATTATGGTGATGTTCTGTAAATCCTGCTCCAGCCACACAATAGGCCAAGAGCAATTAGCATTAATTAAACTATCCCCATAAAGAGGTTGCTGTGCTGACACATTGATATTCCATAAATACACTGAGACTGTGAACATTCTCAAGGGCTTGCCTTCCACACCACGGGTGCTGGACCCTCCCGCCCCAGGACTGCTCACACCTGGGTGTAACACCACTCAGCCAGAACCCAGCCCTGGGGCCGACCACTCGGCACGCTAAACCACCTGGGGATCCTACTAAAACGAGATTCTGACTCGGAAAGTCTGGTGTAGGGCTTAAAAGTCTGCAGGTGAATGAAGCTCCCTGGTGGTGCCGAGGCTGCTACACTCCAGACATCACTCAGAGAAGGAACATCTTTGTCTAGAAGCCCTCCCCAGGCCGAGGGGGGAGGGCCCAGGTTAGGGGCAGGGAGAGCAAGTCAAGGCATTCCGTGCACTCCTAATGCTCTGGCCTTCCTGCCCTGCTTTATAGCCAGAGAACCATGGGCAAGGAGAAATACACCACTCAGCCAGAACCCAGCCCTGGGGCCGACCACTCGGCACGCTAAACCACCTGGGGATCCTACTAAAACGAGATTCTGACTCGGAAAGTCTAGTGTAGGGCTTGAAAGTCTGCAGGTGGATCAAGCTCCCTGGTGGTGCTGAGGCTGCTACACTCCAGACATCACTCAGAGAAGGAACATCTTTGTATAGAAGCCCTCTGCAGTCCAAGGGGGGAGGGCCCAGGTTAGGGGCAGGGAGAGCAAGTCAAGGCATTCAGTGCACTCCTAATGCTCTGGCCTTCCTGCCCTGCTTTATAGCCAGAGAACCATGGGCAAGGAGAAATAAGCAAGCAGTATATCATGCAGACACCAAAGTGACCCTCAGAGTCACCCCAGATGCTGGAAGCCTCACCTTCTATGCAGAGGAGCAGAGATTAAAAAAAGAAAAAGAACCAGCCTCTGAGAAAGATGAGTCCAGCAGTATCTCCACCCCTCGGTTCTCTGTATCCTGCGCCTGCCTGGTCGATGGAGCCCCCAAGGATGCCCCAGGCCGCCAGTGTGACGTGCGACTTTTCCAGAGACGGAGGGATCAGGGACCGGGTGAGCCTCCCAGTGGTGCTGAGAACCCTCGTCCCTGGGCACAGCCTCCCCGTCTGACCTGGCACCACAGGGCACAGAGACGACCTGGATTTAAAGGCTGCTAAGCACGTGGCCAGCAGGGAACGGGCGGGGACTGTGCAGGCAGCAGGCGCGCGCGCGCGCGTGTGTGTGTGGCGAGAGAATGTGAGCAATGGGAGTGGAAGGCAATGGGCAAAGGTCAAATATGAAAACCAAATTGGCTGAGGAGCTTCGGCAGGCCTGACCATGGCGCGGTGACAGCCAGGAAGAGCCAACCCGCAGGAGGAAGCCGCGCCCATCGGGGATGCGCCTGAAGAGGCAGAGAGAAGAGCGCAGAGGACAGGAAAGTGAAGTTAGGACACTCAGCACCCGTCTCTGCGAGCAGATGCGAGGTTTGTAGCAGCCCTATAAAATCGTAGGCCAGCCAGTCATAAAACGATGTTATGATATTATAACGACGTGGCTGCAGAAAGCGGCAGTGACTATGTGTTGCCTGTGGCCAGTTTCCGTTTTAATTCCGCAGTGATGTGACTGAAATGAGAAGCCTGCGTGAGGCCCCAGAAAGGGGCCTGCATATGTGCTGTTCTTAAAGTAACCTCGGAGCGATTTCCTGACCCAAAGTCAAGTCAAGGGGTGCTGAAAGTGGGGGCGGGAAAGGGGGAACATTTGCGTGGCTGGATGAGACCTTAAGTCACAGGGACCTCCGCAGTGACCCCATGGCTAAGATCTCACCTTCCATTGCACAGTGTGAGGGTTCAATCCCCGGTCGGGGAGCTAAGATCCCACGTGCCTCGGAGCCAAAAAACCCAAAGATAAAATAGAAGCAATATTGTAACAAATTCAATAAAGATTTTTTAATGGTCCACATCAAAAGAAAATCTAAAAAGAAAAAAGTCATGAGAGCTGTGAGCGGAGAGGCTCCCGGGACACCTCCTTTACACAGAAAGCTCTTAGATTCCTTAGAGACTGGAGTCCTCTGACCAACAAATTTGCCCTTGCGTCTGCGGCCTTTCCTTTTTCTTCTCTCTGACACCCTTCCTCTGTAGCATTTTCAGGGCAACTCCAGCCAGGTCGGCTGTTTATAAAGCAGGAACAATTTACCACAGGGCGTGGTGTTTAATTTGAAGAGACGTCAAAGAGTGAGGGGCAGATGGCCGAGGCAGCCGAGCCTCGCGGTGACCCTGACGGGACATCCAAGCCCACAGGTTCATCCTGAACTTCCTCCAACAGATCCTGAGTTGATCAAGCTCTGGGGAAAAAAGGATGAATTGATAATCCAGGTGCCTGCTTATTCATTTCTAGTGGATCTGTGGATAGCTTCTGAATGAGACCAGTTCAGATGATCCATTCTAGAAAATTGTTCAAGAGACTTGCAATATATATCACAAAATCACTTGGATTTCGAAGGTCTCAAATCTTTCGGGGGGACATAATTCAACCTGGGGGCTTCTCAGGTGATGCCAGTGGTAAAGAATCCCACCTGCCAGCACAGGAGACTTGGGTTCAACCCCTGGGTTGGGAGGATCCCCTGAAGTAGGAAATAACAATGGATTTCCAGTGTTTATTCTTGCCTGGAAAATTTCACGGACAGAGGACACTAGCTGGCTACAGTCCATGGAGCGACAGAGAGTCAGACATGATCAAGTGACTAAGCAGTGATTCAACCTATAACTGTAGTGATGCTACAGTGTGGTCCAATTAAACATGAAGCATCAATTCAGTTAGGAAAAGCTGAAAGCAAAAGAAGGGGGCAGCAGAGAATGAGATGGTTAGATAGCAGATTCAATGGGACATGGATTTGAGCAAACTCCAGGAGTTAGTGGAGGACAAAGGAGCCTGGAATGCAGCAGTCCATGGGGTCACAAAGAGTCAGAGACGACTTAGCAACTAAAGGAAAACAATAATTCAGTATCTAGTATTAGCTGCCATGGAGGCGGGTTTTGAGGTAACCAGGAGTAAGGACCTTTCCTGCCCTCAAAGTTCCCACAGTCTATAACAGGCATATATATGAGTAATTTACTTGGCTTTCTCTGCTCACGCAAGAAAGAAGCTTAAAACATTGAATATATTGATGCCTAGGTTCTACCCCTGACCAGTGAAACTAAAGCCCCTGGGATGGGGCCAGCAGTATTTGTATTTTTTAATAGTTCCCTAAGTATAATGGTCAATTTTATGTACTGACATGACTGAATAGGCCACAGGGTACCTGGATATTTGGTCAAACATTATTCTGGTGTTTCTGTGAGGGTTGAAGATCTGAATAAAACAAAAATTCTAACCCTCTCCTGAATAAGAGAAAATTCCTCCAGCCTAGGACATTTTGGTGTTTAATTTGAAGAGACGTCAAAGAGTGAGGGGCAGATGGCATTTTAAAAAATGCTAGGACATTTTTTTTTTTCCTGTCTTTAAACTTGAACTGAAGCATCAGCTCTTTCCCGATTTTGAGTCTATGGCCTTTGGACCTGAACCACACCATTGGCTCTCCTGGGTCTCCAGCTTGCTGACCACAGTGAATTGTGTGTGTGTGTGTGTGTGTGTGTGTGTGTAGATCCTTTGGGGAACCAGGTGATCTTAATATGCAACCAACATTGAGAGCCACTTACCTATAAATAACAAGACAAGGGAATGATTGATTGTTGATTGTGCCTGGGGAGGAGACTTCACAAAACCTATCACATTTGAGCTGAACCAGAAAGAATGAGCAGTATTTGCCTTGCCAAGCAGATGGGATTAGAAGAGTTTTAGCAAAGGAAGCAAAGAAGAGAGGGTGGAAAGGAGATGAATTGGAGATGAAGCTAAAATGGAAGAGTTGGGACGTGATTCTGACCTGCTGCAAATATCAGTAGCATGACTCAGTAAATCAGAGAATATTGAAATATTACATTAGCAAGTGATGTGCCATTTCTGCATTTTAGGAAGACAAATCTGAAAACTATGTTAAAGAGACTGAAAGTGAGGGGGACCAACTAAGACATCAGTGTAAAAGCCTGCTATGGACTGAATGTTTGTGTCTCCTCCAAATTCATATCTTGAAACCCTACCCTGCAAATGGTGATATTAGGAGGTGGGGCCCTTGGGAGGTAATTAGGTTTCCATGAGTTCACGATGCTACTGAACTCAGTCTGGCTCCTCAACACTCAAAAATCCATACCTAAGAGGCAGTTGTTGGTAAAAGGAAAGTTGCTGTTAATTAGAATGCTGGCAATCTGGGGAGAAGATGGAGTCATGTCCCCCCCAAACCAACTCCCAAGATTCTGCTCAGCCAGGAAAGTTTTAAAGGGAAAAGAGGGACTAATTTTAGTTAATCATTGAGATAGGGGGTCAGACTGGTTGCTGTTTCCCACTGTATGTAGACTCATCAATTTCTTGTGATCTTTCTTTAGATATTACTGTGCTCACATAGTTTGTAGGATTACTGCAGGGGGAAGTTAGGGAAGAGATCTGGTCATCAGTTACTTACTTATTCTTCGTTTCTACTTATTTGATCTATGGAAAGATCCAAGAGGTTAGACAAGGTATTGTGTGATCAAAAGATTTGAAAGGTGTGCTAGGGCCAGAGATGAGTAGAACATGGGGGTGTCTGGCTTAAGGTTAGTTACAATATAGCTCTGCTAAAGTGACAGGACCAAGGAGTGTTCTACTGAGGGTGGTTTCCGGCAACAATGAGGGTGGAGACCCTCTGGTTGAACTAGTGCCCTTATAAGTAGAGGAGGACACACCAGATCTCTCACTCTCTGCCATGTTCAGATACAGCAAGAAGGCCGCCATCCGTCAGACAGGAAGGGGCTTTCACCAAGGACCACGTCTGCTGGCACCTTCACCGTGGACTTCCTAACCTGTGAAGCTATGAGAAATGTCTGCCGTTCCAACCACCCAGTCTTCGGCACTTTTTTATAGCAGCCCAAACTAAGAAAAATTCCAAGCAAGATATGGCATGACCCCAGACTAGAGAAAAACAGAGGGTTTTTTTGTTGTTGTTTGTTTTTTGCATGTTTCAGAGCTAGTCAACGGGATGATAAAGACGGAGAACTCCAGTGTTTACCCTAAAACTGAGGAAGAGTGTGCAAGAAGGGATAACTTAGAATTCAGAAAATATGGAAGATGGAGGTAGGAACATCTACTCTTCCCCTGGAAGTCAAAAGGAAGGATTTAATATTTGCTAAATAATAGTCTAATATAAAACAAAAGAGACAATTATCCAGTAAGTAGAGGGAAATCAGAGAAGAGATAACCTTGGTCATCCCTGGGGTAAGTAATGAATAATCTAAAACATTGCCTTTCATTTTAAATCAACAATGAATATATAATGAAACAGAAGGGAAAATTAGCATACACAAGTGTGGTTCCTTACCTTGCCCCTTCTTTAGGAGAGCGCCCGGAACATTCAGACAGCCCTTGAGGATGGTGTGATCAGCGGGATCACTGTGTCCTCACTGGCTGCGGCTCAGTGACTGAGATTCTGGAGTCTCTGAAAGGACTGCTACAATGCATGCTCTGTCTCACCTTTCCTGACAGTTCATTACATTGATGGGCCTATAGAACAGCCCTCCTCATATGCCCATGTCCTGGAATTCATACCCTGTCTACTCCCCTCCAACCGAATCTGGGCGGAACCTGTGGCTTGCTTTCATCAAGAGAATGTGGCAGAAGAGGTGCGGTTCTGTTTCAGGACCAAGTCTTACGAAGGCCTGGAAACTCTCATCTCTGCAGTCTTGGGAGGCCTGAGGTGCTAGGTAAGATGTCTGGCTTCTCTGCTGGAGGGTTCATTTGAAAAAGATAAGGTCCTGAGCTCTGAAGGAGAGAAAGAAAGAAAAAGAGAGAAACCCAACGATTCCAGCATCCCAACTGAGCCAACCCAGAGCTGCTTGGCAAGCTTGATGAAGTCACATAAGGAGAGCAAAAGAAGCACCCAGTTGAATACAGCCTAATGGCAAAATCACAAGCAACTAAAGTGATTGTTGTTCTTAATCATTAAGTTGGGGGGAGTGGGGGGCGGCAGTTTCTTGTTTAGGAGTAGATAACCAAAGGACAAATACAACTATGATTCTATAAAACAGAGGTTGGCAAGGATTGTGTGATATGCCAAGGATCTGATCCTTTTCCTTACAAAGGTGATAAAAGTTAGAATTGCTAATTTGCCCAACATATTAATCTTGTCTTTTTATTCTGCATTTTTGATGCTGAAAACAGAAAGACTGCCCCTCCCCAGAATAACCAATTCTTAGGGATTATAAAGGGCCACACCTTTCATCTGGAAGCAACTAATCCAGAGCCCATACTCCCAACCCCTCCTTTATAGGGTGCTCATACTCAGGGCTCATGTCCTGGGCCTCTATACACCCGCCCTAATCACACCAGAGCCAAGAATTAGAAAACTAGGGGCAGCCGCTATGCCTCAGAGCCCACTGAAATCATTCAAATTAAGTCGAGCTACCCTACTTCACCAATTCTTTCACGCATACCAGAAAAGGCTCTTGTCCAAGTTTTTCTCTTCTCCTTCCTGACTAACCCTGGTGCATCCCCGTGCAGCCCCTGGAGCATGGCATGTCCCCTCCTCTAGGAATATGGGAGTGTAACAGACTATTTTCAATGGCAATCATAGCCTAATCTATCAGCCTTACTGCAGCTAAATAATAAAACCTATACTATAAGGCAGAGGCTTGTAAGCATAGGTGAGATGATAAACATGGCCAGTGTAGCTCTCATAGGAAACAAAAATGGTTGAAGCAGAGGTGACTGCAAAGGACCACCCTGTAACACTGTGCCACAAAACACAGTAGCTAGTATTTTTGAATGCTCCTCATTAATCTTCAAAATAAGTCTAGAAGGTGGGTTTTACTCTTTTCTTTATCCAGAAGTGAAAATCAAAGCTTAGATTAAATAATATGCCACAAGTTAAGTGGCAGAACTAGGAGTCCAACTGTTGCAGGATTTGAAGACCAGAACTATTCTCCTATGGCTCCCCCAGTGACTCAGTAGTAAAGAATCCACCTGCAATGCAGGAGATGCGCAGAGTGGGTTCAATCCCTGGGTCAGGAAGATCCCCCTGGAGAAGGAAATGGCAACCCACTCCAGTATTCTTGCCTGGGAAATTCCATGGTCAGAGGATCCTGGCGGGCTACAGTCCATGGGGTCATAAAAGAGTGGGACACAACTTAGCGACTAAACACCAACATTCTCCTGTCCTGTCCCAACAGTCTTCACCAAGGGTCGTCATGGTTTACCATGGCTTATCATACTGAACTTTTG